TCAATATGTCAGGGTCCCGTGGCCCGAGAGCGGTCGCAATCGCCCGGCTCGCAATCGTTGAGGCGTCAGGATCTCGGGGCCCCTCCTCCTCGACCCCCGACCCCCGACCCTCGACCCTCGACCCTCGACCTGCTCCCAGCCCAGCTGGAGCTCCTCGTCGTTGGTGCACTTCCGGATGCCCTTGCCGCCTCCCCCCTCCGATGCCTTCAGCACCACGGGGTAGCCGATGCGGCGGACGTGGTCGCGGGCCTCCTGCAGGGACTGCAGGCATGCCCTCTCGAAGGGCTCCTGTGGGATGCTGCCGTCGCTCTGGATCGTCGCGGTGATCCCCTCGCCGTTCCACGGGATGCAGGGCACCCCAGAGGACTGGGCGAGGATTGTCGACGCGATCTTGTCGCCGAGCGCGTGCATCACGGGCGCGGTGGGGCCCAGGAACGCGATGCCTGCTTCTGCCAGAGCCCTCTGGAGGGGAACCAGAAGATATTGGTGCTGCTGCTCCCTGGACCTCTCCCAGGGTGCTTTCTGACCGAAAATTTGAAGACGAATCCGGCAGTGGCGACGAGGGCCTCCCCCAGGGCCCAAGAAGACGAAAACGAGGAGAGGGTAGCGGTATGGGTACCTTGTCCTCCTCTGATCCTGGCGCGCTCCGCGCGACAGGGAGGGGGGCCTAGCGCCGATCTGAGAAATCCGCGCGGAGCTCCAAATCCCACCAGCCCTTTGGGCGTGAGTGGTTTAGAGAGCCCGCTCTGTTCTCAACCCCCTTCTTCCCCTTCGGGGAGGGGTTTACCCCTCCCCCTACCCCCTCCCCCTGGGCCTGGAGAGGTCCTTCCGCGGGTCGTTGGAGGGGTCTTTTTCGACTCCTGGGAGGGCTAAAATTCGACACCCCTCACGAGGATTGTGGCCCCGACGGGGGGAAGCAGAAAAGTGCTCGCCCCAGCTGTGATCGATCGCCCGAACGATGGCCCCAAGATACCTCCCAGACCCCTCCCAAAGAGCCCCAAGAGGCCCCAAGAGGCCTCCAAGAGGCCCCCAAGATGCCCCCAAGAGGCCCCCAAGAGGCCCCAAGAGGCTCCCCCGAGGCACCCAAGACGCTCCTGGACGCCCCTGGGGCCGCCAAGAGGCCCCCAAGACGCCCCAAACGGCCTCCAAGAGGCTCCCAAGAGGCCCGAAGAGGCTCCCCCACGGCACCCAAGACGCTCCTAGAAGCCCCTGGGGCTGCCAAGAGGCCCCCAAGACGCCCCAAAAAGGCCTCCAAGAGGCCTCCCAAAAGACATATTATTAATTATACACTACATACTCACACTATACTACCATACGACTACTACTACTAATATACTACTACTACTCTATAATACGAATAATACGACTACTACTTACTACTACTATACTAATACTACTACTACTACTAATAATACTACTACTAGACTACTACACTACTACCAGCTAATTTCTACATCACATCTACTACTAGACACACAACTACTATACTACTAATACTACCACACACTACTACTACAGTTCTAGCCTCTATAATACTACTATACTACTACTACTACTACTACTACTACTACTACTACTAAGAATAATAATAATACTGCTACTACTACTACTACCCCCACTACCACTACTACTACTACTACTACTACTACTACTACTACTACTACTACTACTACTACTACTGCTACTGCTACTACTACTACTACTACTACTACTAGTACTACCACTACCACTGCTACTAGTACTACTGCTACTATTACTACTGGGACTACTACTACTGCTGCTATCAGTACTAAGACTACTACTTCCACTAGTACTATTAGTCCTATTACTGCTACTACCACGACTACTAATACTACTACTACTAAGACTACCATCACTACTACTACTACTACTACTACTACTACTACTACTACTACTACTACTACTACTACTACTACTACTACTACTACGTACTACTACTACTACTACTACTACGACTATAACTAGGACTACGACTACGACTACGGCTACGACTACGACTACGACTACGACTACGACTACGACTACGACTACGACTACGACTACGACTACTACTACTACTACTACTACTACTACTACTACTACTACTACCATATAGACCACTGCTCTAGTGACTGCTACTGCTACTGAGACAACTACTGCGACGACGACGTTGACGACTACGTGTGCGACTACCGCTGATACTGGTAATACCACCACCACTACTACTACTACTACTACTACTACTACTACTACTACTACTACTACTACTACTACTACTACTACTACTACTGCTCCTACTACTACTACTACTACTACTACTACTACTACTACTACTACTACTACTACTACTACAACTACTACTACTCCTACTACGAGGGGCCCGAACGACTTGCACCAGGACGAGGTGCCCGAACGCCTCACGCCACGAGGAGCCCGAACGACTCACACCAGGACGAGGGGCCGAACGAACCACGACGAGCCCGAACGACTCACACCAGAAGGAGGGGCCCGAACGACTCACACCAGGACGAGGCGCCCGAACGACTCACACCACGAGGAGCCCGAACGACTCACACCACGACGAGGGCCCCGAACGACTCACACCACGAGGAGCCCGAACGAGTCACACCAGGAGGAGGGGCCCGAACGACTCACACCAGGACGAGGGGCCCGAACAACTCACACCACGAGAAGCCCGAACGACTCACACCAGGACGAAGAGCCCGAACGACTCACACCACGAAGAGCCCGAACGACTCACACCAGGAAGAAGGGCCCGAACGACTCACACCAGGACGAGAAACCCCAAACGACTCAAACCACGAGGAGCGCTTTCTCTCCCTCCTCCTCCGCCTCGTCCTTCTCCCGCTCCCACCACAAGGAGGATGTACAAGGAGGCGGGAGGAAGGAGGAACAGGGGAGATATGCGGGGGCACGCGGAAACACGCCTGAAAAACACGACTGTCGGCATGCTTCGCAAAAGTTGCTGTTTTGAGATGGGCTGGTGGGGATACGCGAAGCGTGAAGAATTTTTGCATGTTTAAGCCATTTTTCCGTATCCGAGTCCTCGGGAGCGCTGGGTTCTCGCTCGCGTGGCCCCACCCAGGCCAGACGGCGTCCACCTCCTGCTTCCGGGCTATGTCGACGATCAGCTCGACGTTCGCGTAGTTGAACGTATTCTTCCCAGCGGGAACCTCGACGAAGGAGTCCGCCAGCCGGATGTACTCCATGTTCGCGTCAAGGTCGTTCTGGCTCGCCATAGCCACGAAGTGCAGCGCGCTGGCGCTGCCGAGCTCGAGGAACGCCCACTGCCGCATGGACATAATGGCTTTGGTGGCGGCCATCCCGTTGTTGGCGATCAGGATCCTGCTGATGCACCGGGTGCCACCATGCGCCTGGACATACTCCGACAGCGTCGGCTTCTGTGTCATCTCTGCACTGGCGCGGCGTGGACACGGCTGAGGCGGTGACGGGGAGAACTGTAAGCCAGAACGGCTTGAGCCAAGAGGCTGCATAACCCCGTAACGCCCACGCACGCACGCAGCACACACGCACACACTGAAGGATGTGTATGCATATACAGATACATATATACATATATAGAGATATATATATTTATATAAATAGCAGTATGGACCCCACCCCGCGACTTTGTACCAACAGTCGGCCGAAAGCTAGCGGGATGCGCAAGCTAAACTGCACTCGATCGAATGCCGAACGCGATCTAGCCGCAGCAGAGGGACAGAAAGGGTGAGCAAGCACGAATGCGAGAGCGAATATCATGAAACTGCTGAGCAAGCAACAACCATAAAACAAGGAATCCCGCCACAGTTCTCGCACACTCGCACGCGGTGGTGAAGCGCAAACACAAGATCAACGGCCACGGGCCATGTTAGCAACGAAGTGCACCATCGTTATGATGACGTGACATCCGATAAAAGTACCAGTGTCAGACCAGCGTAAGCCGAAGCCCTGGGCAAAATACAGGCGCAGGCAGGGGAAATGCGCGCGGCAACAGGGACGCAACCACATGTTTGGCGGCAGCGGCCTCGCGCGCAGCGACAAGGCGGAGTCGCCACGCACACACTTTTTGAGGCGGCGGCGCAGAGGAGGCCTCAGGCGCGGTCGGCAGGTGGCGGTGCCAATTGCGAACGAAATTGATCGAAAGCACCATGATGGAACAGCCCAGCCACGGCCATGCAGACGGCGGTGTGCGTTTTAAACCAGAAACAAAAAAACTAGAGGACTGCAAAGCCAACATGCAATCGACAAAAAAAATACCCTGCGACGTACCCAACCATTTCTATACATGCGGCGAGTATACTCAGGACCACTCAATGCTGACTGGCATTCTGAAGGACTCGCAGTGCGGAAAAAGCAAAACGGACACACAAGGGGCGTTTGTGGTGGTCCGCGTATGACGTACCTCCGCTGGGCCTCCCAGGAGCCCACGAAAGTGCCGACAATTTCGCAGATCGCAGCCCCCCAGGGCACCGCGAGCTACAGTGGTGGTCCGCGTATGACGTACCTCCGCTGGGCCTCCCAGGAACCCACGAAAGTGCCGACAATTTCGCAGATCGCAGCCCCCCAGGGCACCGCGAGCTATAGTGGTGGTCCGCGTATGACGCACCTCCGCTGGGCCTCCCAGGAACCCACGAAAAAGCCGACAATTTCGCAGATCGCAGCCCCCCAGGGCACGGCGAGCTATAGTGGTGGTCCGCGTATGACGTTCCTCCGCTGGGCCTCCCAGGAGCCCACGAAAGTGCCAACAGTTTCGCAGATCGCAGCCCCCCAGGGCACCGCGAGCTATAGTGATGGTCCGCGTATGACGCACCTCCGCTGGACCTCCCAGGAGCCCACGAAAGTACAGACAGTGTTGCAAATCGCAGCCCCCCAGGGCACCGCGAGCTATAGTGGTGGTCTGCGTATGACGCACCTCCGCTAGGCCTCCCAGGAGCCCACGAAAGTGCCGACAGTTTCGCAGATCGCAGCCCCCCGGAGCACCGCGAGCTATAGTGGTGGTCCGCGTATGACGCACCTCCGCTGGGCCTCCCAGGAGCCCACGAAAGTGCCGCCAGTTTCGCAGATCGCAGCCGCGAGCTATAGTGGTGGTCCGCGTATGACGTACCTCCGCTGGGCCTTCCAGGAGCCCACGAAAGTGCCGACAGTTTCGCAGATCGCACCCCCCCAAGGGCACCGCGAGCTATAGTGATGGTCCGCGTATGACGCACCTCCGCTGGACCTCCCAGGAGCCCACGAAAATGCCGACAGTTTCGCAAATCGCAGCCCCCCAGGGCACCGCGAGCTATAGTGGTGGAACACAGGAAACAAGAGAGAAGGAGGAGGGGAGGAGAGGGGAGGAGGAAGGAGGAAGGAGGAAGGTCGGGGCGACCACACTGCTCTATTCAAAACGAGAACCCGACACAGGAGGGCTGGGGAAAAAACACCCTGCGACGTACCCAACCCTTTCTATACATGCGGCGAGTATACTCAGGACCACTCGATGATGACTGGCATTCTGAAGGACTCGCAGTGCGCAAGAAGAGCATCAAGCAGTCATTTCAGAACAGCGCAGCAAGAAGAGCAGCGGCGAAAATACAAAACGGACATACAAGGGGCGTTTGTGGTGGTCCGCGTATGACGCGCCTCCGCTGGGCCTCCCAGGAGCCCACGAAAATGCCCACAATTTCGCAGATCGCAGCCCCCCAGGGCACCGCGAGCTATAGTGGTCCGCGTATGACGCACCTCCGCTGGGCCTCCCAGGAACCCACGAAAGCGAAAGTGCCGACAGTTTCGCAGATCGCACCCCCCCAGGGCACCGCGAGCTATAGTGGTGGTCCGCGTATGACGTACCTCCGCTGGGCCTCCCAGGCGCCCACGAAAGTGCCGACAGTTTCGCAGGTCGCAGCCCCCCAGGACACCGCGAGTTATAGTCTATAGTGGTGGTCCGTATGACGCACCTCCGCTAGGCCTCCCAGGCGCCCACGAAAACACCGACAGCTTCGCAGATCGCAGCCCCCCGGAGCACCGCGAGCTATAGTGGTGGTCCGCGTATGACGTACATCCGGTGGGCCTCCCAGGAGCCCACGAAAGTGCCGACAGTTTCGCAGGTCGCAGCCCCCCAGGACACCGCGAGCTATCGTGGTGGTCCGCGTATGACGCACCTCGGCTAGGCCTCCCAGGCGCCCACGAAAACACCGACAGTTTCGCAGATCGCAGCCCCCCAGGGCACCGCGAGCCATAGTGGTGGAACACAGGAAACAGGAGAGAAGGAGGAGGGGAGGAGAGGGCAGGAGGAAGGAGGAAGGCGCGGCGACCACACTGCTCTATTCAAAACGAGAACCCAACACAGGAGGGTTGGGAATGACATAAGCTCGGCGCGGATAATTTGAAGCGCAAGCAGCAGTGTGGTGCTAGTTGAAGCCACAAAGGGGCCAGAACCAAAAGAACTGTAAGACTGCCAGACCAGCCAACGTGGGGCGGTGCATACGCGCAGGAGTCTGCGCGTCGAAGCACCGCCACCGCCACTGGTCCCAAACCATGTCACAAAGGTCGCACACCCATTCCCACCTCACTTCCAATTCGGGAGCAGGCCCTCGCAAACGACTCCAGCGTGCCGCGGGGCAGTGCATCAGCCGAAGCTTGACCTTGCCGTCCTCGCACCTGTCAGTTTCGTCGCGCACGTGCTCGCGCGCCAACCTGGAAAGCCGCATGTAATCATTTCCAAAACCTCTTGACGATCGAGATTACGGGCGCGTGGCGAAACTGGGTAGAGAGGGCGCGCCTCGCCAGCATGCGCAGCGGCTGCCGAACCGAAAATGGGCAGTGGAAGCGCCTCGTACACCCTCTCCCTGAGCAAGAGAATCACGCACGCAGGTACAACGCAGCATGTGTGCAGATACCAAAACGTACCGTGCAGTGTGTGCCGCGCAAACAAGGAGGCGCAGACGCCAGAACGTGCCTCCACGACAGTGAGGCGCAAACGCCAGAGCAGGTCCCCAAGACAGCGTGCGCCGACACAATGCACAAGCGTGCACGGGCACGTAATTAACAGCCCGTCCACCACCACCTCACACACACACACACTCTTTTTGCAGCACCAGCCCTCCAGCAGTAGGCTCAATAAATTGTCAACCCATGTGATAGGGAGCCCACCGCGGTGGAGACCGCCAATAAGTCTTACTGTATACGGCCCGTCCTTCGCCGTGTGCGGGCCAAGTCCTCGAGCATGTCAACGGCTCCCGATAGCGTGGTGGGTTCGAGTGCTGCTGCTTCCCTATTTGTAAACTGGGGGGGCGGTAGGAGCCACCCTTCGATGTCAGCTAGTATGAGTATGTACTTGGGAAATGCCTTGACGATGTGATCTTTCAGCCCAGAAGACCCCCATGGTAGCCAGCCTGTCGGCGGCTTCATCAAGTCGGCGTCGTACTGCTAGCCATTCCACAGTGAATCCCTGGGCAGCCAGTGGCGACAGCGCCTGCTCGATCGAAGCCTAAAGTC